TTTTTTTTTTTTTTTTTTTTTTTTTTTTTTTTTTGTCATTCACACAGCATCATAAGCAGACTGGCTGCCATGGCACTGAATTTAGCACAGCCAAGTCCACCTTGGCCTTGGGGCTTTATGAGGATATCTCTGTAACAGTTTCGACTATGTTATTGGAAAGGAGAAAATAGTGCTTTTGTGAAGGTGATTCTAACAGTCTTTGTTTTTCTTTTTACTATATGTTGTAAACAATGGATACCACTCTATTCTCTTCCTAAATCATGACTTTTTCTAATTTCTTGTGACTCTGTGCCCAATCACTTCTTGAAATGGTCATTTTTTGCATTTCAATTAAAGCCAAGCAGCAATATCCTAACCAGCTGTTTGAGTACAGAAGTTCAATCCAAACTTCTGTTGGTCCCCATGATTATTAGAAAATTGAGATCCACAGTACGTACAGACTCAAAGAAATCCCACTCCTGTAACTCTACTATACAGGAAGAAAAAAAGAAAAATCCTTTTGATTTTGGGCTTTCGAAATCTAATTCAAGGAAAAGCCCCTGTACCCAAAGCTTAACTCAATGAAACGTCTTTGGTTTAAAAGTCTTCAGAGTTCTTTTTTCTGTTTGTGACTTTTTATCACTTAATTGTGATGTGTGTACGTAAATAAGCTATTTAATTTCAACACACCTAAAAGTTATAGACGGAACTACATTTCTGTAATTTGAAGTCTCTAAAATTTCTAAGTTCTTTTGAATGATCTCACTGAATACCCTTTTAACACTGAGGTGATTCTAAATGTGTGGTTTGCTTTGAGGATGGAGGTTTGCTTCTAATCCACTCAGGTTGAGCCCCTGTGATCTCATTAGTGAGCTGACAGACATTTGCAAACAGTCCAATGGCCCATCATATCAAGTAATATGGACATTCTGTCACATCCTCAACTCCAATTAGGCTTCATATCTGTTTAGCTATATTTTGATTCTGACTTGGAAAAAATTTTTTCAATAGGCAGACGTGTACTTGATTTATTTCAGTAAAACATCTACTTCGTGGCTTGTTTCTCTTCCACTGTAATGATATTTCTCCAAATAACACAGCAAGTGATTTAGTGGTTTTGTAAACCTGCACTATGTAATAATGCACGACTTGGGGTGCAATATGTGAGATTTTATCACTTGGCAAAATGAGAGAAATGAGACATGTCAAGGAGAAGACTCCTTGACACTGCTGAACTTGTAAAGTAATTTGAGTAGTATTTAAAACATTTATTCCTGGATATCATATAGCAAAAGGAGAAAAGGGCTTAAAAGATTCAGAATTGCTTAACATTGTGCTGACACTAATAAAATGAAAGCAAAATATAATTATGCTCACAAGCACCGACTTAAATGTATACACCAATTTAGTGAGTTGATCTGTTTTGACCATTAAGTAACAATACAATTTAATGTCATAATGTTTCCTAGGAATTAATCACTAGTTTAAAGGAGTTGGATGCTTTGATTCATTAATTTCATCTAGTCATTAGTTCCCAGGGGAAAAAAATCTACAAGGAGAAAGAACTGTACTCTTAGGACCTGATTTTTTTTTTAACGTGTGGATTTTTAATGGGTGAGAAAAATTAAAATATAAAATACTAATTAGCTATATTAGTAATATATTAATTATCAATCTATGATATACTTCTCACCTATGATTAATAACCAGACACACATTTTCATTTACTGCTTTAGGTATTTAGTATTAAGTTCTATGGGTATTATGCTTTAACATTGTTTTCTACATGAGGGCATTTGGGAACTGGGATTCATTAAAATCACTTGATTTAGAGACAACAGTCTTAAAAACTATAAATAAATAAATAAATAAATAAATGAATAAATATATATATATATATATATATATAAAATGCAATTTTTATTCTGTGGGATATAACCACAAGCCCACAAAATTGTTACCATTTTTATTCAGCAGGTGTTACCACAGAACCCTGCAAATGCATTATTATGATCCCACAGACTGGAAGGTTACCCTTATGGTTTTCACTTCCTTTGTTGGATAAAGCCAGTGTGATTGCTTTTTAATGAAAGTGATTCTCTAAGATTTTAACCATAAGACGCTCCCAATTAAATACCTGCCATACTCCAGAGTACTCTGTGTGATTTTAGTATGCCTGCTCACCTGATCATACTCTAAAGGTATAAAGGGACTTGAAATTTCAAGCTGTAGTATCCAGCCCAGTAACTTCCAACAATTCTTCCTTTAAGCCATCAGACTATTGAGGAAAGTAATGCGTCCACCCTGGAGGCTATTTTCAGGTTCCTAAATGTACACAGATTTCAGCATTTTCTCTGACGATATGATGCATCCTTTCCTTAGCCCGATATACCCATTTCTACCTAAATGTACTCTAATACCTTTCCATCTCGTAAGTTAACTATTTAGATTCTGCTGGTCTTTAGTGCACATTTCACAGCCCCTAAAAAGATAGTTCATTTGACATTTCATTAATCTTGCTAATAAATGAATAACAGCCCACAAACTGTCGTTTCCAATATATGTCATGTTCAATGGTGCCATAACTAATAAATTCTTAGAGTAAAAACTAGTCTTTAATTATTTTATAGTTCTAACCTTAAGCCAGTTTTAGTTTTTATTAGAGTGGCTTATTAGAATGGTATTATAGTGACTGGATTCAAATAGCAACATTTTTTATTCAGGTTTCCTGCTAAATGCATACAAACATTTAAAAAAAAATGTCCAGTCTCTATGGCAAGCTATTTGAGTCCAACTTTTGCCTTTAATATGCACTGCCATGGGCTTTTTAGACATGGTAAGATTAAATTTAGGTTGATGGTCTTCCGGGGAATATGAGAACCGTGGTCCTTTTAGTGCTGTGTTTGTGAGGATGTAATAGGCTATGCTGCCTTAGCATTATCTTATTAGGGAGGGTTTATCATTAGAGACAATATTTATGGTAACATTTGCTAATTTAATTAATCGCTACTGATGCTCTCATAATTTCATTTTCATTGTACTTCTGTGGAATCATAAACAAAAGGTTAAGTGGCGCATCAGGTTAATTTACTGGCCTTTGATGTTTCCATCTGTGATCCTGCATTCAAACACAAAGCATAAATAAAATGGTTCTCATGTGGTTGTCATCCAGAGGCATTCCTCTATCCTAGAGTGAACTGCATTTTTAGTTTAATTTTTTTGTGCTTCCCAAATCCACTTAATCCATAGAACATTACGCTGCCATGGATCTCTGAGTTTCTGTTTTACGAAAACAAATTAGGTCAGCTCAGAGGGGGGAACTGCCTGCCATCTAAGAAGTGATCAGACAGGAGGAAAATTGAAAATCAAGGAAAAACTCTTTCTTTAATATTAATTTAAAAAGGATTTTTAAAGATTTCTCATTTGCAACGCCTGCAGACCAGACTTTACAAAACAGTTCTATTCTAGATATAGAATTCCTTAACAGTAATATTGCAATAACCATTTTGCAAAACAGTCCGTGCTGAACTTGAAAATATATTGTTTTCTACTATATTTGTTTTTCTGAATAACTTGTTGCTCACCTTTTATAGAAGTATCAGCTTAATAATGCCAATGCAAATCATTATACATTTTAAGGTCAGCTGTTGTGCCTTTTTTTTTTTTCTTCCCCCTCCATCCTCATAGAATGTACATGCTAGGATGATACAAAGAAGCATGCTACACTCCAAACAATGAAAAAATTTTTAAAAAACCAAAATGCACATAGAACACATATATGGAATGGTTTTCTTGGAATCTTTACCTGGGCCTCAGCATCAACCTTTAAACTAATTTAAATGTACTGTTCCCTAGCTTTTCATGCAGTTGCAATTTCCAGATACTTAAAGAAGTGTGTTTTTATACATTGATAAAACTTGAATCTTATTCTATTTGAATTAATACCTCTAAAAACAATCTCTCCAGCCTGATAGTATCTGCCAGACCTAACCTTTGGGTCAGAAGACAGCCAATCTGTAAATAAATGGGTGCCTCATCACTGCCTGCTGAGGGGCTGTTCACAAGTCATTTTGTTAGGGTGACACAATAACTCTATTTTGGTATGATGCGTCATGGCCTTTTTAGCCATTTACCTATAACTATCCCACTGCTCTGTGAATAATTTTTATTTATCTTAATATTATTTTCGTGTATAATAACTATAATAAACAACCCCGTCAGTGCCTCCTGGTGGCCATTTTTCCTCTTTTTGTTCTATGTGACCTTAGGGTCCCTTAAACTATTTACTTCTGAATTCCTTTAGAAGTGAGGGGTGGTAGGTAGGGGGAGGGACAGGATATTTTGTCCTTCCTCTTACACGTTTAGGGTATTTGTCTTTCACTTTGGAAGAATTCTGACACTGTGAATTAGGACTTTGGAATAAATTCTGCTTTTAATGTTGCTAATAGAAACCTGGGTTACAGCTAGAAAGGTCTGAATTCAAGGGAGACGTGACCTGAAGCCGGAGAGCCCTTGTAAAATCACAACTGGCCACGGCAGGGTAGGGGGGGGGGCCACTCCCTGGACCACCCAATAAGCAAAGTTGAAGCCCAAGCATTCAACCCAGACTGCAGGCTGCAAGGTCTCCCCCAGCGGCTGCTGATTCAGCGCTTGCAGAGGGTCTGATTACACTTTGAGGTAATTACAAATATTATTTTCCTCCCCCGATGAAGAGATGGGACACATTTTGGTTTTGCAATGACCGAGAATTTCTCAAGCAAATGGGGAAGTGGCCCCAGCATAACACTGCAGACCAGTGGCCCTTGTGGCAGCGCCGGTCGTCTCGGCTCAGGAGAGCAGGTCCTCTGGCCGAGGGCTGATCTGAGGCTATTTCACAGTCAAGGCCAAGGCCACTGCCGCCTGTGAGCAAAGGCTGGGTTGGAAAGACCCTCACGCAGGCGCCCTGGGGCTCGCTGGCAGTGAGGCCCAGAGCCCCGGGGCTGGGCTCTTCCGTCCGGCCTCCCGACCACCTGCCCGTGCGCCCTCCGCCTCCAGCCAGTGGAGTTTGGGTTCTGTGTCTGCGAGCGTGCTTTACGGCACAAACCCAGAGTCTCAACTTTTCCTTTTGTTAGCAGCACTCGTGACATCGGCCCCTTCTTCAGCTGAAATCTAAAGCAGAGCTTTTGCGTCTCGAATCTGACTATCTGTGAGTTTCCCGGGTCTGGGACGCCGCAGGGACCTTGCGACCGTCGGCCCCGTGGTTCTGCCTCGGCCTTGGACGCGCCCGGCTCGGACTCACTCCGCGCCCCTTCTTTCTCCCTTGGGCCCCGGTCTTTCTCCCCCGGGTTTGTCACCCTGGCACGCCCACTCCTGGCTCCCCCAGCCCTCCCATCCCCGCCAGGGCCTGACAGTGACCCCGCACGGCTGAGGACCCCGCAGCCGGGGGTCGCTCGCTGCTCCGGGACTCGCCGCGGTGCACAAACTGTCCCGGAGAGCGAAGCTCGGCTTCCACCCCTCCAGGGTCGCGCGCACCAAGTGCAGGTCCCGGGCTCGGGAACCACAGTCTCCAGGCCGCCGGGCGCTCTTTGGCGTACGACCCCAGCCTTCCCGGGGTGGAACGGCGCTGCCCCTCGCTCTCGGCTCCCTTCCTCCGCGGGCTCCCAGCCCCGTGCCCGGGGTCTCCTCCCTCTCGCCTGCACCTTCCCGCGCTCCCTCCCCGCCCTCCCCGCCGCCTGCCCGCGCTCACCTGGTTGTTTTTGCAGAGATCGGCCCACATGCTGGTGCCATCCCCTCCGCGCATCAGGACGTGGTAGGTGAAGAAGTAGATGCCCGGGATGGAGCAGGTGAACTTGCCCGTGGTGGGATCGTAGTGGTTACCGAGGTTGGTGACCACGTCGTCGAACTTGAGCACCTCGTAGCCTTCGTGCTGCCGCTTGAGGCCGGCGTAGAAGGCGATCTTGGGCACCGTGCTGTAGGTGGCGGCGCTGATGGCCCCGGCCGAGTTCAGGCCGGGCGCCCCGGGAGGGCCCGGCAGGCCTTGGCGGCCGGGCTCGCCCTTCTCGCCCGGCGGGCCCGCGGGGCCCGGCGGCCCGGGCTCACCGGGGGGCCCCCGCGGACCCGCCTTCCCGGGCCTGCCTGCCTCGCCTTTGGGGCCCTGGATGAAGGTGGGCAGGGACTGCATGAGGCCCCGGTCGGGCGTGGCGGCCGTGCTGGGCGCCTTGGTGCCCCCGTAAGGGTCGCAGACCATGCGGCAGGTGCCCAGCATCTCGTAGTGCGCCGACGTGCCGGCCGAGCTCACCAGCACCGGGATGAGAACGACCAGCAGAAGCACCATCACCACCCCCAGCGCCCCGGCGGCGATCAGGCGCCTCCTGCTGCCCACCAGCCGGCTCAGCGCGGGGCGATCCTCTTGTCTGCTTTTGGACAAAATTTTGAAGGTTGGGCGGGGACCTCCTCAGAGCCGAAAACAGCCCCCTGCGAACCCCGAGTCCCCTGGGCGGGCGCGCGCGCCAGCCGCTCCTAGCCTGCTCTCGCTCCCCCCCAGCCGAGGCTGCGGCTGGGGAGGGAGCTCGGACGCCCGGCGACTTGCGCGCAAGTCCCCGAGCAGGGGGTGGGGTGCGCGGGGCGCCCTCTCGCCGCCCGCGAGCCCCTTCGCACCTGTGGCTGCCGCCGGCGCCGGCGCGGCCCCCGGGAGGGCAGAGCCGCCGCAGCCCCTCGCGCTCGCGGGGGCCGCTCACACTTTTCCGCCGCCGCCCGCGATCGACTTTGCCGGTTTTGCCTACTGCGCCAATTCGCACCAACTTTCCGTCTGAAGTTGCCTTTTTCTGCCTCCTCTTCTTTCGCTCGCTGGGATCGCCCTCCTTCTGCCTTTTTTGTTTTTGTTTTTGTTTTCTTCTTTTCCTCCTTGGCAACCACCAGAACTCTAATAGATGCGCATCCCCCAAACCCCGCGCCGGCCGCGCGAGCTCAGGCCAGGCTCCCCCCGGGGGCGCGGAGCGGCGGCGCTGGGCACCGGCGGCTCGGGGAGGCTCCGGGCTGGAGCGGAGGGGCTGGCGGGCAGCGGCGAGCGCCTCACCGCCGGGAGCGGAGCGAGAGAGAGACTGAACGCAGAATTCTGCCTGGGTACCACCTGCCAGGAGAAGAGGAGGCTGACAAGCGCGCGCCGGAGCAATTTATAGGCACCCAAGGCGCAGAGGAAGGGGAGCCGCTTTGGCATCTCATTGCGGCATCTGCTCTTCTCATCCCACTCAAAGGGAGTTTGGCATTACTCTGACAATGTGGGATCCCCCCCCCCCCCCACCCTCTGCACATGGATGAACAGTGAGATTCTGAATACTCCCTTGCTGAGCCCAGCCGATGGCGGCGCTCTCGCTGGACAGATGGGGGTGGGGAGTGAGACAGACGTGCTGTAGCCTTCAGCACTCAAGAGTCACACCTAAGTCCCCTGTTTCCCCACTGCCTGCAGCCCCAGTTGGAGGGTGCAGTTGAAGGTTGAAAGGAGGGTGGCTGGGTCGACAGTATTTCTCTAATGGCTCACCCACCATCAGCGTTTCAGGTGTTTTTTGAAAATGCCACTTTTAACATAAGGAGAGCCCTCTAGAATTTTCCAGATGGTACATGTGATTTATTTTTTAACCTTATGGTTTTCCTCACCAGCCTTCCAAAATGAAATAAGATGTTTCCCAGAGAACAGTAAGGTGTGTTGAAGAGACAAAGGCCGTTTCTCAATGATTGCAAGTGAACATGCCCACCGCACAAAAGCGGGGGAGGGTTGGTTCTTTTTACTAACACTGCAGATGGTGAGTGTATACATACGAACTCTTATTTACAGGCTTACAATTCTAGCAACCTTTCAGGAGATTCAGCCACTGACCTAAGCTGCATTTACTTAAAGGTACCACAGGCATGAGAAATAAGCACTTGTCAAGATGCCTTCAAAAGTCTTCAGATAAAGCAAGCAGCTTTCACAAAAGTACTGAGCAAGATATTTTCCTAAGATATAGAAAGAGTCCTGCAAGTTTCAGAGCTTATCTCCTGCATGTGTCCTTGGGGGAGGGGGAACAGAAGCAAAATATGAGAGAGAGCTCCCAAACAGGAGAAGGAACAGCCTGGATTTATAATATTAACGGAAAGCCCCCGGAGTAGCTGTGAGGCAAGGTATCACACCAAGAAATATATAAGACGCACAAGAAGGGCTTTAAATAAACAAGTAGAATTGATTCGTAAATCATACTTTTGCATATTCAGGAGCAACGGATGTCAGTCAAATGTTGGTGACATTTGCTTGTCAATACGGGGATGATGGCTGGGAAGATGGTGACTTATTACACACCAGGGCGAGAATTGAAATGAGAAGCAGAAACAAATAAGACTACACAGTAAGCAAACAATAACATCCCTGGCACCGATCAGGGGCCTGTGGTCTGGTCCGTGGGCTCCACAGCACGGACGGACATCCCCTCCGCTCAGCCTTCTGCCTATACCCCTTATCCCATCCCACCAGTTCAGTTCTTTCTTTCCTCCTTCTCTGTTTCAGAACAAAATAAGGTCAAATGAGGAGGCAGAAGGCAAGAAAGATTCATTGATTCTTCTAAGAGAAATGTCAGCAGCTCGTCAGGTCTTTCCTGGGAGAATCACCACTGAGGCGTTGGGCTGTGAGGCCCAGCCCAGCCCTGGTCTCCCCCATCTCCATTCTCCCTCTCTCTGGATGCTGACACAGGCCCTGCTCCTGCTACTGGGACACAGTCCTTCTCACTTCTCAAACCTTTAACTTTTATTTGAGGGGGGTGCTTTTATAAACATGTGTCTTTACCTTGGGCATAATTACAAGTATATTTCACACTATTTTTGTGCACACGAGCTGCATCATTTTCATGTGTTTAAGCAGCAAACACATAATAAGTTCTCTCCTGGCTACAACACCTGTTTTCCTAAAATCTCTTCCGGGTTGCTTCTCAAAGTCACCTTTCTTTAGGGGGGTACAAAATGGTAACACATGGTGTCAGCAGTGGAGGGTAATACATTAATGAAACAGGCTCTTCCCTGATACACCAAATGATCAAACGTCATAAGACTTCTCTATTGCTAAGGAGAGTTGAGTGGGGATAAAAGGAAAGGTTTTTTAAAGGTAGAATTGTATAAATAAATTCTCATCAAAAACCTTAAGATACATGGACGAAGCCTCAGCTCATAAAGGAACCCATCAAGGCTGAAAGAGTTGAGTTAGAATGGACCCTGGAAAGCAAGTCTCTACCTGCTCGCTTGGCAGATGGTGAGACTGAGACCCATAAGCCTCGAGTAGAATCAGGGTCATCCCGTGCGCTCGCTGGTACACCTTCCGCTACCCCACAGTATCAGTATACCGCCACCCAGCCCAGCCCAAGACCTGCGGTTCTGTTCCTAGTAATTCAGGCTTTCCTCCTTCTACTTTCTCTAATGCCAAAGCAGAGCTTGATTTTTCCAAGTGAGGGCTCTAACATCTCAAAGTTCTGCTGAGATTTGGACTTGGTGCTCAACCGTCATCCTTCACAGTGAGGACACCATCCCCCATGTCACATGGCTGACCCTACTCTTTCCATCGAGTGTACACACCTCGACAGTGCACGGACATTTGGCTTTTTAGCGAAGGAAGTTTAAATGATCCGTCTCCTTCCTTTCCTCTAGAAATGTCCCGCCAAATATTGTACTCTGGGAGAAACTTCCTTTGTTCCCCCAAGATTTTCAGGGATGCCTGGGTTGTAGATGAACTCATGGCTGGTTCCTGCCACTTTTCACTGCTTGAATTTCCCAGAAGGTTCTTTGGAAAGTTACTCACGCTTCAGCCCTTATTCTGACAGTTTGAATAAACCATCTGATATGGCATATTACTCATCATCTTTATATGTATATAATAATAGAAAATGTGTCAATTAAAAAAATATTTGGTTCTTTTCAGTCCTCATCAGAGGACCAAGTTTTCTCTCACAGTCGATATTAGCTTTGGAAGCAGGCCCTGGAATCTAATTTTCACAGGACTTCCCAATCATTTCTCAAGAAAACACCAGGCTCCACCTTCCCATTCCTTCTGCCCCTGGGCCTTTGGGACCATTAAATAATAAAGTCAAATACAGAAACCCAGGGGCTTCCCTGGTGGCGCAGTGGTTAAGAATCTGCCTGCCAATGCAGGGGACACGGGTTGGAGCCCCGGTCCGGGAAGATCCCACATGCCGTGGAGCAACTAAGCCCGTGCACCACAACTACCGAGCCTGCGCTCTAGAGCCTGCGAGCCGCAACTACTGAAGCCCGCGTGCCTAGAGCCCGTGCTCTGCAACAAGAGAAGGCACCGCAGTGAGAAGCCCGCGCACCACAACGAAGGGTAGCCCCCACTCGCTGCAACTAGAGAAAGCCCGCGTGCAGCAACGAAGACCCAATGCAGCCAAAAAATAAATAAATAAAAATAAATAAATTTAATTAAAAAAAAAAAACCAGAAACGCATGATCTGGGTTGGGTGATGCTCCTGTGATTTCCACCTTTCCCATGTCATTTCTGTCTCCTTTGCAGAACTGAGCAGATCCTAAACACACGACTTCCACACAGACGTGCGTGGCCACCCATTAATCTTTATTGAGCACCCACTGGCAGCACAGCCCTACACAGGGCTCTTCCAAGGCAAACAAATATTTAGTCATGAGAATGATTTCCAAATCCAGCAGCACTTCAACAGAAATAGCATTTGTTATAACAGGAAAAAAAAAATAATGAATTCACAGACCCAAGGGCTAGCTAAAGAAATAGATATTAAGAATGTTAAAAAAAAAAAATGGGGGCCGGATCAGCTATTGATCTTTAATTTCTGGGTCTCAAAATTGTATTTCAGGACACACACTCCTTTGACTGAAGAATTGGAGGTTTCCAGCCAGATAGGGTCTGCTTGGAGTTATGTAGGGAAGCTTTGGAATCAGAGGAGTCTTAACTTGAATCTTAGCTTCCACATTTAGTAGCTGGGGAAGTTACTTGTAAACTTCCTGAGGCTTAATTTCCTTTTCTGTGAAATACCTAAATCAGGATTGTTGCGAAGACTGAGTTAATGCCTATGATTACAATGATACTCAATGCCCAAGAAAAGCCCAGTAAATGTCAGCTTTCATCTTAGTATACTGTAGGTCTACTGAGTAGTGTGTGTATGTCTATGAACTTGACGGTAGAACACAAGGCTCTCAAGGAAGTTAAAGCAAAGAGTCAGACTTCAAACAAATGACATCCAATGGGCAATAAGTATTACAGACTTAGACAAAACGAGAAAGCACACAGAAGTCCTCCAGGAGAGCAGCCTTCTGTGTTATAAAACAAAGCAAGACACAACTCAAAATAAAGATCACTTTACCCTTCTCCAAAGGAAGAAAACGTTTCAGAGCCAGGTCATTTGAATTCACTGCAGTCTGCTAGACCAAGGTTTTAGACTTAGAACCTAGTAGGGAAGCATTAGAACATGCTTTTTGTCCTCTGGAAAGTTCTCCAAATCCCAAGTGGCAAGTGTATTTAAAAATCACTGAGGTAGTTATTCAGGACCTGAGCCTCTGGAGAATGACCCTCAACTAAGCAAACACACCCGAGAGGTCGGCTTTGTACAGGCAGCCAGAAGAGCGATCACACTGCTGGAGACCTAAGTCATAACCATACTCAGGAGAGAATTCTCAACACAAAACTCTCCATTGAAGATGGTGAGCTGAACAGCTAGCTTGGCAGATCTACTGTCAGAAAATGATCGAATAGCCGGATGGAGGAGGTAACTAGCGCATGACGTAAGACTCCGTTACAATATATGGCTTCAACTTGGTCTCCAAGTCTTGCTATATCATTCCATAGAAGGATGAAATCTCTAGTATGGATATGATATTTTCGACTTGCCATGGGTCAAATATTATGGTCCCTATGACTCTATTTAATGTAGAATTGAAATGTTACAAAGAATGAGATCTAAGAGATCAGCAAGTCCTCCTAAGCTATGCTCAGGACAGCTCAGTCATACAAGGTAGATGAATGAACTCAAGAAACTAATAGCACTTATTTACAAAACAGAAACAGACTTACAGATACTGAAAACAAACTTACGGTTACCAAAGGGGAAACGTGGAGGGGGGAGGGATAAATTAGGAGCTTGGGATGAACATTCACACACTATTATATATAAGATAGATAACCAACAAGGACCTACTGTATAGCACAGGGAACTCTACTTAGTATTCTGTGCTAGCCTATATGACAAAAGAATCTGAAACAGAATGAATATGTGT